TTCGATCGAAGACATGTACGAATTTCGGAATGATGCATCATCGTTGAAATATTTGTTTACCCCAAAGACCCCCTACAATTTGAAGTGCCCCGAACCGACGCCCACTCAGGACGCCGAACCAGTCCTGCAAACTCACAAAAAGAGGCCCCGAACACGCCCCAAGTGGCACCCCGAAAGAGCCCGAATAAGCAACAGCCTTCGATTTCCATTCGGAAAACTGATATTTTTGGCGTGTTCGCCTTTTGGGCTTCCACTGCGTCCAAAACGGCCCAGGAGGCACCCAAGCCGGTCGAGGATGCCCCCGAGAGGGCTCCAAGACGGCCCATGAGGGGGGCAAAAAGGCCCCCAAGGCGCCCAAACCGCCCAAGAACGCCCCAAATCGGCGCCCAAGACGGGGACGAGGAACCGAAAATGCGAGCCATGTGGCCCAAGAGGCCCCCAGGAGACCCCAAGAGGCTCCGAGAAACGCCCAAGAAACCTTGGGAGGTCCCCAAGAGACTTGCAAAACTACCAAAAGAGGCCCCGAAGACGCCCCAAGTGAAGTGGCCCCCCGAGAGAGCCCCAATAAGCAAACATCGCCGTTTTCCGATCGGAAAACTGATATTTTTGGCGTGTTCGCCTTCTGGGCTTCCGCTGCGCCCAAGACGGCCCAAGAGGCACCCAAGCCGGTCAAGGATACCCCCAATAGGTTTCCAAGACAGCCCACGAAGGGGGCCAAGGCGGCCCCCGAGGCGCCCAAACCGCCCAAGAACGCCCCAAGTCGGCGCCCAACACGTGAGCGAGGAACCGAAGATTCGAGCGTTTTGGTCCAAGAGGCCCCTAGGAGACCCCAAGAGGCTCCAAGAAGCGCCCAAGAAGCCCCAAGAGGCCTCCAAGAGACCCAGAAAACAAAAAAACAACAAAACAAAAAAACAAAAAACAAAAAAAACTAGAGGCCCCGAAACAGCCCCCCAATGGGCCCCCCAAAACAACCCAAAAGAGCCCCAGGGCGCGCCCAACAGGGTCGACCAGAGAGCTGGTCCGACCTTCCACAGTCTACACAGGGTCCGTCCCTGGCGGTGCCTCAAGCAGGTGTTGCCAGTGGAGTCCTCCCTTGCAGAATGTTTTTGGTCAGCCGTTCGACCTGTTGCAGTCAGGAGGAGGAGGAGGAGGAGGAGGAGGAGGAGGAGGAGGAGGAGGAGGAGGAGGGGGTCAGGATGGGAGGGGCGGAGTAAGCCGGACGCGAGGAGTGGGCCGCTCCTCGGGCGCGTTCTGACGTGGATTCCGCGGCGGATCTAGTCGTGGAGCCGAGGGCCCTCCCCCGAGGGCCAAGAAACGTCCAAAATCCGCCTCCTCCTCCTCCTCCTGCTCCTCCTCCCCCTCCTCCCTCCTCCTCCCCTTCCTCCGTCTCCCCCTCCCTGCATCCCACCTCCACACGGCAATCCGTGCACGCGGGGGGGGGGTCGTTTTCTTGCAACCCTCCTTCACGCGGCACTCAGAGAGAGAGAGAGAGAGAGAGAGACAAAGGTTTCTTCTCATTGCGCAGTTCTCCTCCACGCGAGAAAAAAGTGTACGAGGGGTAATGTCTCTTTGCGTTCCTCCGCCACGCGGCAATCAGTACACGAGAGGGATTTCATGTTTCTGCAACCCTCCTTCACGCGGCATTCAGCGTGCGAGAGGCTTTGTTTCACTGCGCAGTCCTCCTCCACGCGACACAAATGCGTACGAGGAGGACTTCGTTTTTCTGCATCCCTCCTCCACGCGGCAACCTGTGTACGAGAGGTATTTGCCATTCTGCAGCCATCCTCCACACGACAACTCGCGCACGAGAGGCGCAGTCAGCATGTCGTTATGCAGCCCCCTTCACGCGGGAATTCGTGTATGAGAGGGACTTCGTCATTCAGCAGCCTTCCTCCACGCGGCAATCCTTGAAACATAATGATTCTGTCGTTCTGCAACCGTCTTGGGCTCCTCAACGAGCCCTCTTGGGGCGCTCTGTGGAGCCATTTGGGGTCCCTCTCGGAGGCCTGAGGGCCCTCTTGGAACCATCTTGAAGGCCATCGATCAGGCAGGGGGTGATGCCCCAATCGGGATCTGAAAAATCACTTCTTGGGCCGCTTTTGGGCAACTCTTGAGGCGGTCTTTTCTGCTCTCGGAGCTGTATTTCGCTCCTGCTGGATCCCTTCGGGGGCCGATTTGGGCCCATCTTGGAGCTGCCTTCTGGCCTTCAGAAACGATCAGAATCGACATTGGGAGGAGGCAAACATCATAATGTTCCGAACGCTTCGGAAGGAGCTTGATTTCTTCGAAGTTTCCCTGGGGTGCTGGGATGGCACTTTGGGCCGTCTGGGGGCGGTATTGAAGGCTTCGGGGAGGCGTGTTGGAGAAATCTTGAACCAGTTTGGCACACTTTGAACGATCTTTGAGGCCCATCTTTGGGCTCGTGGGGGCCTTCTTGGAACCTTCTGGGGCCATCCTTGACGCTCGAACGGCCCGCCGAACGCCCTCGTCCAGGGGAAGGGTGTAGGGGTAGGGGGTAGGGGAAGGCCCCCGCCCCGAAAGGGATGAGGGGAGGGCCGTTGGGACTCTTCTTCATCCCTCCTCGTTCGGTTGACTCGGCTGGTCCCACTTCGGCCTCATCCTCCGTCGTCTCGGGCGTCTTCCCCATTGCTTATGGTGTTGGTGATGCCGCGGCTGATGTTGCTCGGGGCCTTCGGTTCCCTGGTTGTCTGAAGCAGACTGCCACTCACATGAGCATCATGCCACCCTGCTGTCCAGCAGCACAATCTGGCATTCAGACGCTGCCCGGGTCTGAGGTTGAACCTGAGCGTGCGCGAAGCGCGCGCGATGGTTCTATATATACATATATGCATATATAAAGAAATCCATATAAATAAGAATGGGTAGGGGGTCCCAGGCCCTCCAAAGTGCACTGCTTTATCTTTCGGTCGTTTCGGGCCCGGCGGGGGGCGCCCAAAACGTCAAGGCGGCCGAGAGACGTCCAAGAGAGCGCCAAGATGGCCCAAGAGCGCTCCAAGAGAGCCCAAGACCGCGCAAAAGCGTTTCAAAATTGGTCCAACATGGCTTGAAGACAGCCAAAGAGGGCTTCAAAACGGCCAATATGCTCTCAAAAGGACTCCCACGAGGCACTCAGAAGGCGAAACAAGTAGGTTTGTCTATGGTGTTTGAATGCTTTTCGTGTTCCCGCTGTTTCGTGCTTCCGATGATCCAAGACAGCCCACGAGGCCCCAGAAATCAGCTCAACACGGCCCAGGATGGCGCCACGACGGCGCAAGAGAGCCCCAAGACGGCCCACGAGCGCCCCAAGACGGCCCACGAGGCGCCCAAGTTCGCCCAAGAGGCCCCAAGACGGCCCCAAGAGGGGCCCAAGAGGGGGAACACGAACCGACCATTCGAGCCTTCCGCCCCAAGAGGCTTCCAGGAGGCCCCAAGAGGCCCCCAACAGAGCCCTAGAGGCCCCAGGGCCCACGAGGCCCTAAAGGGGTCCAAAAAGACGCCCCACGAGCACCCCAAACGGCCCCCAAGAGGCCTCCAAAATTGCCTTCAAGTGGCCCCTGGGAAGCCTCCCACGAATCCCAAACGAACTTACAAGGGGCCTCTAACCCACAACACAGGCACGGTGGCGGAATGGGCCGAAGGCCACTATCGAGAACGTGAACCGAGAACCCGAGATCTTCGCCCCAGGAGACCGCCAGGAGGGGTCAAGAGGTCCCCAAGAAGCTTGGCGACAGATCACCAGTCGGCCAGTCGATGAGAGCGGAGGAGGAGGCATGAGGAAGAGGCGGGAGGCAACAGAGATTGTTGATGTCATCATTCATGACCGCCTTGTTGTCTCAATGCGGTCAGCACTCGACCAGCTAGAAGCTAAGCGCGCGCGAAGCGCGCGCGATGGTTCTAGTTGGGGAATATTCGGGCTTCCTGGGTGGCCGCAAGATCACCGCCATCACCAAAAACTAGGGTCATCCTCCCACGGTGGAGGCAGCCCCCTGTGTTGGTGTTGGTGCCCACTTCCCAGCCTCCAGAAGAGGGAGGAGGGAGATGCCGCGGTGCCCCTTTGAGAGCAGCGTGTAGGACGGGCGAGTGGCACAGGCCGGCCGCCGCCACGAAGTGGAAGGAGGACCCGAGGGTGCGCCAACGAGGTTGCAGTGCGCGCTCCTGTTCTCAGCCCCCGCCCCATAAGTTCTGCCACGTGTCCCCTTCATCTGCGAGAAGCGCCCCCTCGAACGACGAGCGCCCGGTGGGCGAGCCTCTCGGGCGAGGCCCCGCTGTGAAGGGATCCACCTCTATCATTCTAGCTGCCGGTGTTGCAGGGTTGTCTAGGCGAGTGCGCGCGGCACCGAGCTTGCTGTGCTGTGGGACATCAAGTGCAAGCATGTCCAAGGCGGAACGCACGGTCCAGTCGACGGGCACGTGTTGATGGTGCGACAGGGGGATGGGTTGTTCTTCGAGACGAGGGGCGAGGAAAATTGAGGAGCAGGAGGGGGACGAGGGATGATGGGGAGGAGGGACGACCAGGAGAAGCACGAGGGAGGAGGAGAATCAGCACGCGGAGATGAACGGAGGAAACGGGAGACGAGAGGACGGAGGAAGAGTGGGCAGACGGGCGGAGGAGGCCGGCAAGAGGAGCGCGGCGCGCTTTAGCGACGGGAGGACAGGGGCTGCGCACGGGCAGGGCCCCGGCGGAGTCCCCGCGCGGCGCTCCGACGACGGGACCACTCTGACTGCCCACGGCCAAGTTTTGGGACCGGCGACAGAAGCGTGCTCACACATTCTGCGAGTCTGAATGTGAGTGGCCCTGGGGGTCCGGTGAGTCCGAGTGCGATTGAGTTTGAGCGTGAGTGGGTCTGGGTGTGGATGCGTCTGCGTGTGAGTGGGCCCGGGTATGAGCGGGTCTGAGTGGGTCTGAGGAGACGCATGTAGGCGGAGAAGGGGGAAGGAGGAGGAAAGATGACCAGCGAGGAGTAGGATCTTCAACCAAAGCGGGGCGCCCGATGCCCCAGGTGACGCATGAATCGTTGCAGGTGCTCGATTTGGAGGGCAACCTCGTGGAGGACGCGCGGGCGCACGCGCTGCGCAGTCTTTCGCGGCGGGTGGTGGTCGTTGAGAGCTGGTGCCTGGGTCCTGCGCCGAGGCTGGCACATCCTTGGAACGGGGAGAGTATCCAGCGGTTTTCGGCCCATCGGGCCCTGCCTGGATTGTGGAGCACGGCGAGTGCGTGTTGGGAGGCCTGGTTGAGAATACCGCGTGCTCCCTGGATGTCGGCCACTTCGGGGATTGCGGAGGGAAGATCCTGCCACCGCCCAGACTTCACAGCACCTTGGGTGCAACAGTGGTGGTGGGCCTTTGTTTTCTCGCACACCTAATTCACAGTACTTCGCGCACAGAGTAGTATCGGACTCTTGGCATCCGCTACGTCGCACAGCTGTTCAACCACGCAGCTCCTCGCCCCTTTGCTCACGGCAGGGTTTTTGTTTCAAGGGAAGGTGTGGACGTCCTTCTATTTGTACTTTTTCCCGCTTCCCTCTCATCCGAGCGCACACGTCTGTGAGGTTGGACACCGCCTTCCTACCCCAGTCAGCGGGGGGGTCAGAGGCTCTGCAGACCTCTGCGTATCTTGGCACTGCCGCACGCCCCACGCTTACGACACCACCAGGGTTCACAAGCACAAGACATCTCATGACTCCTGTGGATTTGGTGGGGCACTGCGAGGCAAGCCAATCCAGCGTTCCCAACTCCTCGGTTGGGCGCCCTCGACCACGCCGTGTGGACCCACCTGCAGCACTTTACGCTGGGCCCTGGAAGCACGACTGCGGGCCACGCGATCAGCATGGGAGGAGGCCACACAAAGAGATGGCGTTTGAATTGCCATTTCTATGAGGCGTTTCTTCAACCGAATTGCCCTATTAGCAATATGACAACCTTGCTAGATGACATGCTGGGGAAGCCTAGCACGACGGGCTCCATCCCCTGCGCACTCATCAGCCGCCTGATTTGCGGTAAAGTCCCCAACATCACCTTTTTGGAGGTGGGGCTTTACTTTTCTAAAGTGGCATTCCTCTGGATAGCTGTTATGAGCCTGCCAGAAACCCAGCCAGGCCGCTAACTTGGGTTCGTGCTTCGAGCTGGGCCCGCGTCGAAATCCATCGATCACGCTGTGATAATCTAGCACGAAGTGGCACTCACCACTTGTATGCTTTACAGCCACAGTTATGCCTACAAGCTCAGCTAACAGGACAGCCTGGATCCTGGCAGGGTGCCATGCGCTCTATCCCTAACCACGTCTCCTTGAACCATAGCGCAGCCCCAGCCGCAGTGGCGGAGGCGCTTGTCATCAGTGCAGTTCTCCCCACTCCCGTCCGACCCGATCCGGTCATCATGGTCAATGTGCACGCGCCTTGCAGCCCGAAAGGCGCCTTCAAAATAGGCCTCGCCTTCTGGTCATGCGTTTACAAGGTCGTGGACCCACCGAACTAGGACAGACCTCGCAGCCAAGAACAAGGAAACTAGCGTGATGTTCCCAGGCTTCCTTGACGAGGGGAAGGTCCTCAGGAGCTTAAGGAGGACTGCTGCAAGAACATCCCCACATCTGGTGAAATGGGTCCTCCTCCGCCCCGCACCGACTGCAGCACCTCTCCCGGGAACCGACTGGGGCCTGGGGAGCGCGCCTCGTGGCTGACCACAGGGCGCCACTGGCCACCAACTCGAGGACAGCCGTCAAATTGGCCTCCCCTTTGGACCTCGACCTCCCGAGGTGGTGGCGGAGGGGGGTGAGGTCACAACCGAATTCCAATCCTGCTCCACAAGAGTGTTGAGACGCGTGCTGCTCCCAAACGTTTTGCTCCAAAGCGCCCTCCACCCGACAACACACGCAGCCTCCATCCCTGAGTGTTGCCTCTGGCAGGCTCAAGGTAAAAAGGTGTGCGCTGATCAGTGCCAGGCTCAGGGGCGAGGAAGTACACCTGTCCATCATCATCTAGCCACTTGAACGGGCTCTCAGGGACCCAGTCAAGCTGGATGAGCATAGCAATGAGGATGTCCAGAGATCCCTTCACTTTACACCAAGGTGAGTTAGCACTACTTGAGATAGTCTCTTTGCAACGCTTCCGAGCATTCTGCAAACACGGAGTGGCCCAGCCCACCTCCAGCTTTGACCAAGTCAAGGCGGCCAAACACCAGCGGGACATCACATTGCGTAACACCTAAGTTGAGCGCAGTTGTTGCACAACCCCCGTGTCTCTGCACACCGCTCGTCGCAGCAATCTGGCTCATCTTGTGCAAAGTGGTTGGGGCAGCTCCCTGCCCTGCTATTCCCCAGGACGCCTGAGGCTTATAACCTGCACGAGCTAGGCGCGTGGCTTTAAGGGTTGCCTTGATGAGGCTTTTGATGCGACATGCTCGGGCAGTGGTTTTCTCAAGCTTGCCGTGGACAGTGGTCGTGCTACGCCGTCTACTGTAGAAATCGATCCCTAGGTCCGTGCATGCTGTGACAAATTTGAGGGCTATCCCGCACTTCTCCTGCACTCCTGCGGCAATCTGCTGAATGAGATTTGGTTGGTTAGCTAGCAGAACAGTCTTGCCCGAGATGTTCAGCTCCTGCCAGAGGCTTGTCAGAAATTTCCCCATCTGTTATGTTTCTTCTTCACTGCTGCCTGCATACCTCCTTCTAGCTGCCCGTCCTCGTCCTGCTCTGGCTGCGCTTCTGCCTGTGGCTGCCCCCCGAGCGTGGTGTACCAGTGTGCCCATCGCGTTCCGCCATGCAAACTGTCACTCGGCCATTCCGAAAACTTGCCTGTTGAGTACTCAAGCCGATTTGCCAGTTTTATCCGACGTCTTTTCGCAGCATTCGGGGCCTCCTTGCACCCATCCTTGGCCTCGGCCGAAAAACGGTCCAGGTTCAGCAAACGCACGGCTTGCTGCATCTGCTGCAGATCGGCCTCCCCGCATAGTTGTTGCTCCTCGGCCACCTCAACTTCCTCAGCCTCCTCACCCTCCTCAGTTGCTGGGGCTGGTGGAGCTGCTGGCGGCCGCAGGTCGCCGGGCCCCGGCGAGGCCATCATGAGGTAGTCGGGACGGGGTGAAGTGCGGATCAACCAGCCAGTCAACTACAGTGCGGACCAAAGACGTTCGCGTGTCAGCCTTGCGTGGACTACCTCGTGGAGATACAGCGCGTGCTCCAGTTGTGGGTGCCACCCTAATAATGACGTCCAAGAATCATGCCCCTGTCTGCTCACGCACGTTGTTTCTGCTGCTGGACTGAAGGGCATGTACCGGGTCTGAAGCTGAGGCGAACATTCTACTCCTAGCTGCGAGTGCTGCTGGGGAGGCCCTGCTTCTACCAGATGATGTGAAAGTGCGTTTCATCGATCCCATGGCAAGTCTGGCCCGTAGGTTCCTATGAAGAGTCTGGGGACTGGTGTCAGCTGCTGGACCTGATCCCAGGCCTCCCCGTCAATGGAGCCGATGATCCCAAGATGAGGTTATGCCCAGGGGCCGCCCACATCCCAAGACAGTTTGACTGAGCCGACCAGGGCATTAGATATCAGTGCAAAGTCAATAATGCGACGACCTCCTCCCCCATCGCTGAGATCCGAAGGTACTACCACACTGGCCTCCAGAAACTTATCAAATCCCAATGCCAACACTTCCAGAGGACTCACATCTCAATCAGCAGTCGAGATAAATGAATGTCCCTCAGTGCGAAGTTCGTAGAAAACCTCCTCCAAGAGGTCGACGTTGGAGCCGGCGAGGTCGACCCCCTCCGCCAGGTAAGCCGCGACGCACAACACGGATCTTTCACGAGTTTTGAGCAGGCGCGTTGCCCATTGCACCTAGCAGGCTGCAGCCGGGCGTACAGGAAACCCTCGCTGCAGTCGAGCTGGGGTTGAGTGGAGGCGGGAGCGACAGCAAACCCAACCCCCTCCATGCCAATGGGGTCCCCCCAACTCCGTGAGTTGGGCTGGTCTCGCTTCCGTCTTCCAGCCAGCCTTGGACAGCTTGGCTAGAGCAGCATGCAACTTTTCGGTTCGAAGATGGGTCTCCTCTGCCATGGAAATATCCACCTTCCGGAGGTGCCCCTGAAGATACGCGATACCTACTTGAGTCCACGCCGTGACGTTGGCAAAGTAGAACTGCACCTCACGCACGTCACGGCACGACCCCCGGAGCGCGCAGAGCGTGCCACACGTGCCGTGCTAAACGCGTCTTGCTTCGTGAGTTGTTCCTCCGCCGCCTCCTTCATTGCCCGTGCCCGCTGCTCCTCCTCCTCCGCCAGCACTGCAAGTGCCACCAGGCGCCGCCGAGGCAGTGGACGCCGTCCCGCTGGCGGGGGGAGGGGGCTGCTGCTGCTGCTGCTGCTGCTGCTGCTGCTGCTGCTGTTGTTGTTGCTGCTGCTGTTGGGGGGGCCGGGCCGCAGTTGGCTTCGCAGGTGGGGGCTCTCCTCGTCCCTCCTGCCGCCTCTTGCCAGCCCATCCCATCCTCTCCACCTGCTCCTCACGCTTAGACTTAAGGTCCTGCTCTTCACGCGCCTCCGCCTCCTTCCTATCTCTCTCCGGCGCGTTCATCGAGGCCTGAGAGACAGCCACCCACTTCCAGAGAGTCAATGTGACCCTCCAAGAATAGTTTGGGCGTGTTTGGGCTACCCCCTCGTGAAGAATGAAAACGGACGGCGCTCGAATACTCCTCATCTAGTCCATCGAGTTCTTGGACCAATCTCTCGACTGTCCCCTCCTGCGCGGAGACCTTCTGGCGGAGCCCATCGAACTTCGACATACTTGCCTCAAGCCTTTCGGTACATTGCTGAACCTTGGGCTACACTGGCTGCGGCTTGACTGGGCTAAAGTGTGGGTGGGGACTCCACGCGCGCTGCAATTCCGAGCGGTACTAAGAGGAGAAAGGCTGTGTTGCCAGCCTCGTCGGCCAGCTGAACAAGAGTTCGATGCTCCCCAGTATTGAGAGTACCCGAAGAAAGCGAACTCCCACGAAGGGCCCATCTGGTACCCGCCGCTCCTCCCCTCTCCCCCTGCAATTCGGGCCGCAACGGGACCTCGGAGCGACCGTCCCTCCAGGCCCCCCCCTCGAAAGGGCAGGAGGGGGGGGGGGGGGGATTTCTGTCCAACTCTTCTCGCAGTGCACACCAAGTCCAGAGTGCGAGGTTCTTCGTACACCCGCAGTTGGAACAAGTCCAACATCCTGCTTTGTTGACGTACCTCGAGCCGCCACAGGATACCCACTGATACATGGGGCCTGCCGCTGAGGGGTTGGGCGCGTCGTGGGTCTCAGACTACTGGTGAGGTCGCGAACCTCAGGCCACAAAGGCCTCGCGAGGACAAAACTGAACAAGCCTCAGTCGCTCGTTCGAGGTTGGAAGTTCAGATGACGGTCCCTTGAGCCAAAACCGCTACGGGCTTCCCTCTCCTCCTCCTCCTCCTCCTCCTCCTCCTCCTCCTCCTCCTCCTCCTTGTCATCGTCCTCTACCTTGTCCTCTACCTAGTCCTCTACCTCCTCTTCCTCCTCATCCGTCCCAACCCTCCTCATCCTCCTCCTCCTCCTCCTCCGCCCTCGTTGAGACCCCGCAGGTGTCCCGAAAGTTCGCACCCTGCAGTCTCATGGCGCTGCATGGAGTCATGGCGGCCGTTTTCCAAAGTGGAGTTGCTGCTTGCGACTTCCAAGGGGTGGGGGGGCGCTTGCTATAATGAAAAAGGAAGACCTGCAGGGGCGTATGAGGAAGAGATTTTGGGCGGGAGGGTGAAGTGCAGCATCGTTGATACATATTTGGTTTACGCTGGTCCTCCTCCTCATCCTTCTCGTCCTCGTCCTCGTCCCCCTCCCTGTCGGGGGCCCGCAGAAGTACCTAAAGCTCTTCCCATGCAGCTTCAATGGGTTGCACGGATCCATAGCGGCTCTTTTTGAGTATGGATTTGTCGCTGGAGGCTTTCAGAGGGGGGGGGCGCTTTCTATAGTGAAAAGGAAGACCTGCAGGGGCGTATGAGGAAGGGACTTGGGACGGGAGGGTGTATTCCAGCATCGTTCATGCATCTTTCATTTACGCTGGTCATTATCCTCCTCTTCCCCCCTCCTCCTCCTTCCCCTCCTCTTTCCTCCTTCCTCCTCCTTCCTTCCTCATTGGGACCCCGCGGACGTCCCAACAGTTTGTCTCGTCACGTTGCCCCCATCGAGCTCGCGCCGCTCGCGGCCGCCGCGCGCCGCGGAGGACTTCTCCGAGGTGCAGAGCCTCGAGGCCGTCACAAGCCTCCGGGAGCTCAACCTCAGCCTCAACCCGCTCTGGAAGGGCGCCGGGGTCTCGAGGACAGTTCTGCAGCGGCGGCGGAGGGGGAAGCTTCGACCAAAAAACAAACAAACGACACCACCCCACCTACTACGGCGCTCCATACTGCGCTACGGCCCATCGGGGGCCGTAGCGTATACCACGCAAAAAGCCCACGCCTGATCTTGTGGTATGCGCGATGCCCCGTGGGGCCGTAGCTGGGGTGATGTCGTTTGTTTTCTGGTCCAAACATGAAGGCGGAGGGAGGGGGGGGGGACGAGGACAGCTGTGCGGTGGCCGATCAGGAGGGACACTGAGGCGCAGGGAGAATGAAAATGACACATTGCGCCCGCCACCCCTGCCCACGGTGAAGCCGAGCCCGATGACGAAGCACATGAAGGTGAGCACGATGCTCATGGAGGCGGAGGGAGGCAGCGAGCGAGGGAATGAGGACGAGGACAGTTCATGGGGGGAGGAAGCGAGCGAGGAAGGAACAGCTACACGGACGGAGAGCTCCTCGTTATCAATTTTGGCTTATTTCGCCGGGCTCGTGCCAGTTGCAGAATTCGAGGCCGAACGCGTACGAGCACGCAGTTCTGCAGCTGATCGGGAGTTCTTTAAATAGAGGTTGTGGCGTAAGTGTTTGCCGTGGCGCCGTGGTGGCCCTCCAGACGACGGGCGAGGAGGGCATCCAAACGGCTACTTGGATTCAGCCCATCAGGTTGCTCCGACTACGTCCGCCCCGTGCGACTCTGAGGGGCATTCCCTATCGCCTGTCCTTATAACACGAGCGCCCAGGAGGGCACGCACAATGCGAACATCGAACTGGGATCGGGTGTAGAGTTACCAGTACTTAACTGCCATCCCCCTCTTCCGCGTTCCCCCGTTCCCTTGCCTACTTTCGCGTTCCTCCTTCTGATTCCCTCCTCCCTTTTCCTCTCTTCTCCTTCTCCTTCTCCTCCTCCTCCTCCTCATCATCATCATCATCATCATCCTCCTCATCCTCATCCCTCCTCCTCATCCTTCGTGCTCCTCCTCCTCCGCCTCCTCCTCCCCAGCTACGTGCGTTCATCATCTTTTACATTCGATAGTTGTTCTCAGACCAGCCGCTCCAGCGATCGTTCCAGACGTCAACGCAAGAGAGCGAAGCATGCTACTGCAACAAGAACCAGAGATTACACGCACACGCAAGGCTCGTTGTGCGCCATGAGAGGATGCAGAGAACATGGTGCAGCAATGCATCAACACGTTCAGGAAAATCGTCGTCTCCGCCCTCCTCGAGCCCTGGCGACTCCCCTCCGCATCCCCCCGTCCCTCATCTCTTCTCCGCCCTCCCTCCGTCTTCCCCGTCCTCTGCCCACCCTCCCCGTGCTCCTCCTCCTCCCCCTCCCCTCCCCCAACTTCACTGGTTGCGGGGACGACACCCCCACCGGCTCTCACGGGGGCGGCCCTCCTGGGCGGATGTCTCTCCTTTCCCTCCCTCGCTCCCCCCGTGCTCGTCCTCCCTCCCGCTTCCTTCCCCAGACATGCGATGTCCTGGTTTGTTCAACGCGGGGTCCCCCAGAAGTCCCGACCCTTTTCCCAGGACGAGTGTTCCATCCCGAGCAGTTTTTGTCACGGTCCCCCGACCCTGTGAGGCCTCCTGGAGGCCGAACATGGCCAAAAGCCTCCCTCCGTGATTTCTTGAACGACGAGGGCATGTCTGGGCCCGCCTCCCCCTCGTCCCCGACCCCCCCCCGCCGTCCCGCGCCCCTCCCCCGTCGTCCTGCCTCCCGCTCACCACATTGCCCCCCTTCCCCTCCGTCCATCCCACGGCCCGCCCGCCTTCCCTCCCCCCCTGCTCCGGCTCGTCCTCCCTCCCGCCTTCCCCTCGCTACCCCTCGGCCCCCTCGCTATCCCTCGGCCCCTCCCACCCCCCCATCGGCCCTCCCGCGCCCCCCCTCCCCCTGCCGCGGCCCAGGGACCGCGTGCTGCAGGCCCTGCCGCGGCTCGAGGCGCGCGCCGGGCCGGGCGGGATCCGCGTGTTCTGCGCTCGTGGCACTCGGACTCGAGTTCGTCGCTGTCGCGGGAAGAGGAGGAGGAGGAGGAGGAGGAGGAGGAGGAGGAGGAAAAGAGGAGGAGGAGGAGGAGGAAGAAGAAAAGGAGGAGGAGGAAACGAGGAGGAGGAGGAGGAGGAGGAGGAGGAGGAAAAGAGGAGGACCACCTCCTCCTCCTGCTCCTCCTCCTCCCCCTCATCATCCTCCTCGTTCCTTCCTCCCTCCGTTCCTTCCTTCCTCCGTTCCTTCCTCCGTTCCTTCCTTCTTTTCCTCCTTCTTTTCTTCTTTCCTTCCGTCCTTCCTTCCTTACTCGCCTTCCCTCCCCCCCTTCTCTCCCCTCCTTCACTCCGTCCTCCTGCCCACGGGGAGTTGAAAGCACATCTTCGTCCTCCTCCTCGTCCTCATCCTTCTCCTGCTCGTCCTTCCATCCGCCTTTCTCCTCGTTCTGCTCCCCCGTCTTTTTTTTCCCCATCTCCTTTGCGTCCGCAGTCGTTATTCCTCGTCTTTCTTCCTCACTCCTACATCGACCTCCCTCAGCATCCTCCCTCACGTTCTCCATTATCTTCTTAGGAGGGGCGGTACTCACAGGAGCATCAGCACAGCCAGGCCGCGAGGGGGAAGGCGAGGAGGCAGAGAGGGAGGAGGGGAAACAACTGGGAGGCGAGGGATTTGTGAAGTCAGGAAACGCACGCACAAGCAGATGTTTTAGATTTCAACAGACGGTTCCTCCAACGGCGGCAGACCGACCACCTTCCCGAGCCCCTGGAAAAGTGGCCTTTGCCGTCGCCCCACGCGGGGGAAGCTTGCGGAAAATGGGAGGTTCGGTGCAGGCGGCGAAATCGTGCGCGGGCGAGCGAAGTCTGCATGGATATGTGCAGGTGTCTGTGTTCTCTGCGGGGCGGGGAGAAGAGGAGAGGGGAGGAGAGAGCAGATGAGGGGAACAGGAGGGCGATGCCAAGGTCACCGAGGCAGGGAGGATGTGAGGAAGGAGAGGGGAGCCAGGGAGAGGGAGGGAGGGAGTTCCGCAGGTGGGATGGCAAGAGTGATGGGACGGAGGGACAGAGGATGCTCCAGACGGGTGTAGGGCGATCTTCCCTCATTGCACGCCGGCCCTCCTGTGGGCAGGAGAGAGCCTCCCCCTCGCCCCCCTCCGCCGCGCTGGGCCTTCCCCGCAGCACGACCGGACGGGGCCCTGCCTTGCCTTCGTTCCTCTGGAGCGGCTGCTGCTCGCTGCGCACGTCGCCTGCGCCCGAGCGGGCGGCGTGCTTCCCCGACTCCCGGTGCGCATCGATGGCGCGACGACAGCTCCGTCCTCGACCCCTGGGGCGCGAGGGTGACTTCGGGCGCGTTTTCTCGCGGCGCGCGGCGCCCGAGCTCCCTGATCTGGGCACGTCGCGTCGATCCTCGCCGCGGATGCCGCGACCGCTCTGCTGTGGCTATCTCTGCAGACGTTCACTCCCTGATGGCGCGCGCAGTGGCCCTGCCCCGTGGAGTTGGGCCGGAGGTGGCCAGAGGAGCGTCGCTCATTCGTGATGGGTTTGCTGACCGCGACGCTGTGGCTGACGATTGCAGCTCTGATCCCACGGCTGGCGCACTTATGCTTTGGAGGCAGCTGGGGGTCTGAGGTGGCCCACAGTTGGTCCTGGCGATCACGAAGGGGGGCGGCGAGGTCGAGGTTCTGGGTTCGAGAATGTTCATTTGCCGTTCTCCGCCTCCAGGGGGCCGCTTTCGGGCCCCAGGACCACCAAAACCGGATCCTGGGAGAAAAACTACACCGGATGGACCCCTGGAGGGGTCCGGAGACCGATTTTGAACGGATAGGTTTCGTCCCCATTGTTGATCGATTTATTGGGGCCCCATCCAGTTCAGACCCCCAGGGTGCCCTTATTCATGCTGGTCTTACTCTCGAGCTAGTGCAGCATCGTCGTGGACGGTCTCTGGAGCCACGTGTTACACGCAACGGTAGCCAGCCCACCCAAAAAGGGAGGCGAGTCTGTAGCCGTTGGTGTCGCGACGCTCGACGTCAATTTTGCACACTTTCCGCTCGCATGGCGGTGAGACTAAGCACCATTCTTGAGGTGGACGTCCTCGCTAGCACACTTTCTTGTCGAGGTCTGTTATTCAAGACCAGCGTGGTGGTTCGAGCAGCTTCTCCCGTGCTATATTACGAGATCGTTTCATCGCATCCAAGAATGAGGCAGCATGGGGCCGAAAAGGTTAAATTGTCGTCCTCGCCTCCTTGTCTCTATTCGTTCCTTCCTGCATATCGTTCTTATCTAGTGCTTCGCCTTCTCTGTTGTAACATGTTGATGTTGACAATGGCGCTCTGCAGATACATCCAGTCTAAACTTGCATTCGATTAACGGGTGGGAGCCCAGGGAAAACGGAGGGGAGAGCGCCTTGGGCGGGGAATCGATGGAGATGTATGATGGCTCAGTATGGCTGCGATGCAGCCCACGCCGCAAAGCTCATCGGAACCATCATCTCATTACTTGTCGTTTGCCGCACAGTCAGTAGCATTGCGGCATCAGCCGCTTTCCACAGCCCGACTACACAGGTGCTGGATGACATACCGCGTGACCGAGTGGCTGACGAGCAGGACTTTCGTTTTTGTTGCAGTAGCGATGCTCTCTTATTCATCTGGTGTTGAAGTCATGATTGTGGTTGTTCGGCATGTGGCCGTACCACGCATGTTGGGCTTGTTTTCTGAACACGTGGCTTTCGGCCAGCCTTTGTGGCCCCACGCCGAGCAAAGAAAAGGACGGAGGAGGACGCAGGGCAGGACAGCGATGGGGAAGCGAAGCGCACCGAAATCGGTGGTTGCACCCTCGCCAAAGCTTTACAATGACAGCGACAGCGGGACCCTTTCGGTGCAAGCACCGGTTGGGAAAGCAGACCTGTCCTGTCGCCGTTGGCCCTGGTTTGACCCCCTCAGATCGTCGCGGCCAGACCCACAAACATTCCTCTTCCAGTGTCTGTCTTGTTTTGTTGTCTGCGCCCCCGATCGCGATGCACAGCTGGCCCTGATGCTCTCCCTGTCTCTCGTAAGGTCTGCATGGTTGCTGTTCTCTTGCCACCGTGCACTGGATGGCCACGCCAGCTCCTGGAGAGCACATCCAACTGCCTCGGGAGCTTGCGCATCGACGAACAGGCAGCCTGGCCAAAGAACACAGGAGGGGCATTACGAAGAGGATGAGAGGAGGGAGGGAGGGAGGGAGAGAGGTAGGGAGGGAGGGATGGAGGGAGGGAGGGAGAGAGGGAGGGAGGGAGGGAGGGAGTAGGAGGAGCAGGAGGAGGAGGAGGAGGAGGACGACGACGAGCACGACGACGACAACGATGACGAGGAGGACGAGGAGGAGGAGGAAGAGTAGGAGGACGAGGAGGAGAATGAGCACAGAGGGGCAATAGGAATAGGAGGGGGAAGGGGAGGAGGTGGAGGAGGAGAAGGAGGAGGAGGAGGAGGAGAAGGAAGAAGAGAAGGAGGAGGAGGGGGAGGAGGAAGAGAAGGAGAAAAAAAGCAGGGGGATGATGATGAGGAGGAGGAGGATTGGGATGAAAAGGAGGAGGCGGAAGAGGATGACGACGGGGGATGAGGGTTCTAATGGAATCTTGACTGCTTGGGCGGGGCATGCATTGGTCTGGACTGTCTGGCCGCCTCCTGTGAGAGATTGAGAGAGGTCTGTGGGTGATGTCTGTCGGATGCATGGATGGCCCGACTGCTCCAGCTTCGAGCGCCCTGCCATTGATGATAGCCGAACTGAAGGCGCTGATCAGGAAGCTTCAGCGGACGAGACCTCCCCCGCACTTGGAGCTGCCGATCGGGTCCTGGAAGAAGCTGCGAGGCTGTGCCATGAGTCCGACCGAGCCGCAGGGGACCGCACATGCTCCAGCGACACCGCCCCGAAGGTCATCAGGCCCGTCAGATCTCCTGAGGCCCCCCCAAGGCTGTGCTGCTGTCAGTTTGCCAGGTCCAGAAGTGCGTCAGCCTCAGACGTCGTATCCAGGAGGTCCAGGACGAGCTGCGCCAGGCGCTGAAGATCCACCCGAAACTCCACGTGACCACGTATGTCGACGACGCGATCATCCTTCTCCAGAAGCCGATCTCAGAGGCGCTGCACGAGACCGTCCCCGTTCTGGATGCGGACCTGGGCGTCCTGAAGCCAGAGCCGATTGCTCCAGCACTGGCCACAGCCCTGCAGCCGACAGTCGAGGATCTGCCGCCGTCAGTCGAAGAGTTCGTTCCGGATTGGAGCCCGATGTAGACTCGTTCCAGGTTGCGAGGCCGCCTACACGTACAAGCTCATCCCCAATAAGGTCGTCCTCTCGCGATGTTCGTTCCAGTCCCAGGTTTTCATCTACAAGGTCTCCCTGGAGCACACCCTTCCATCCTGATGGCAACGCTGACGTTGCCAGCATGGACCCCTTGGACATGTGGTATCATGATCGCATCTTCCCGGTGGGTCTCTTGGAGGTTTTCCCTGTGCACGGTCTGGACGCCCCGGAGTTGGCACCGCCAGCGATCTCGGAGCCGGAGCAGATGAGCCAGGTCTATCCCGAGCCCCAGGTCAGCCACAGCACCGCCAGCGAGAACGCCGTGACCGAGGGCGCCGAGGGAAACAGAAGACGAAAACGCAGTAACGGACCCGGGCGCCATGGACGACAGCGCCAGGAACAAGGAAAAGGACGAAATCGTCGCAACCGACCCGGGCGCCACGGACGACGGAAACATGAAAAAGAACCGTGACATGGCCGCTGGGGCGGAGGCTGCCACCCACATCGCCGGGGGCATGGAGGTTCGCGGCGCGGACGTCCGCGGCAAGGATACGGGCTTCGCCGCGGCCGAAGCCGACAACTACTACCTGGAAGGGCTGAATCTCGTCCGCATCTTCGCCGCGGTCCCGGGATCGACGTCCGCGACCGTCATCGGGTCGACCACCGAGCAGGCGCGATCTCTTTCGCGCCACGGCGCGGCCTCTTGGGATCGAGAGCGCGTCAAGCAAGGACTGGGGCTGGCGCGGGCGACGCGTCTTCTCCAGGAGCGGGTCGTGGCTGCAGCCGACGCTCGCTCGTGATCCTGCTGGGTCCCGGCGCGGGGGCTCTGGAGTTCATCGTGAGTTGCCTCCAGCCCGTCGAGACGGGCCCGAGCCTCCTCTCCGTGTTCTTCCGACGCAGCCGCCTCGCCGGGCTTTTTATATTACTACCGTCACTTGATACCTGACATTATCTTCGGTTGCTTCTTCAGCCTGGGCATTATGGATTCGATTGGTCTCTGTCTTCCGCTACTCCCTCTTGGTACGGTGCGTCTCTCATCGAGTCGGAGTCCTGGTCGATGCACTGGTCATGCTGTGCGCAGGCGGATACCCCGTCCCGACAAGGCATTTTGCTGGCAACAGGGGTCTCTTTCCACGACTTTTTTGACTGGCTCACCCGTTGTTGGCTTCTTCGTGGTGGTATCGGTCCTGATCAATGATCCGCTGCCCGCGCTCCTCGTCATTCCATGTTTGCTCGAGCTCTGAGGCCAGGCTGCGGTGGCGTGGTGCCTCTCTTGTTGTTTTGCCTTCTGTCGTCTTGTGTTGTCTCGTCCTTCTCTGCTTTGTTCTTCCTCCCCTCCCTCGTTTCCTTGTCGTCCTCTTCGGGGTAGCTTGCCAGCCGGCGGAATCCGCGACCGCCTCCCTCTCGCTCCCCCACCAAAAAAATGGATGGCCCGACTGATTTCGCACAGAGCAATGGCAAGACGTGCGTCCTCTGCACACTGCTTCGCTCGCCCAGGGGGATGGAGCGAAGGGCGTCGGGTGGGGACCTTTGAGTGGGAGGAAGGCGGGAGGAAGGACGAGCGCGAGCAGGGAGAATCTAGGCCTCCTAGATGGGGCCGGGGTAGACGGGGCCGGAGTATCGCGCCGGAGCGCCGATGCATCGGCGATGCGGTTTCATGTGGATTCCAATTTTGTCCACGCCAGCGTCGCCGATGCTCCGCCGACGTCGCTTACGCATCGGCGATGCATTGGCGATGCACGCAATCCTCCAACCCCATCAACTCGGACCCAATCTTGGAGGCCTCTAGAAAAGACGAGGAGGAGGAGGCGGAAGAGGAGGAAGAGGAGGAGGAGGAGGAGGAGGAGGAAGAACGAGGAGGAAAAGGAAGGAGAAGTAAGGAGGAGGAGAAGGAGGAGGAGGAGCAAGGAGGAGGATGAAAAGGAATGAGAACGCAGGAAGGAGGATGGAGGAAGGAGGAAGGAGGGAGGAAGGAGGAGGAGGAGGAGAAGGAGAAGGAAACAGGACGAGGAGGAGAAGGAAGGAAAAAGGAGGCGGAGGAGGAGGAGGAAGAGGAGGAAGGAGGAAAAAGGAAGGAGGAAGGAGGAGAGTACGCGGCTCGCTTGATGGGCGAAGCGCCCCCTCCCAGGGCGGAGGGGGCCGACCCCCTCCCGCACGGGCGGGCCGGCGAGGCGCGCTCGGACGAAGGCGCCGCGGCGGAGCCCAACGAGCAGGATCGCCGTCGCAGCCCTGGGGCGGGGTCGCGGCGGGGCGGAGCGGGAGTCGTCATCGTCGTCGTCGTCGTCGTCGTCGTCGTCGTCGTCGTCGTCGCCGTCGCCGTCGCCGTCGCCGTCGCCGTCGCCGTCGCTTTCGCCGTCGCCGCCGCCGCCGTCGTCGTCGTCGTCGTTGTCGTTGTCGTCGTCGTCGCGGTCGTCGTCGTCGTCGTCGTCGCCGTCGCCACCGTCGTCGTCGTCGTTGTCGTCGTCGTCGTCGTCATCGTCGTCGTCGTCGTCGCCAGGGAGGGAGTTCCAGCGCAGATCCGAGAAATCCGCGCGGAGCGCCAACAGTTCATGCTTGTGGCGTTTTTCTTTTAATTTCGGCAGCAAGCATGACAGGTGTGCGACGAGTGGGCATATGCTGTATAGTCGTACAGTCACCATTCTAGTTTTAAGTCGGGCCTGTCCCTCTACAGGGGGCATATAAAAAAGTGGTTTAAACAACAGTTGTGGACGATGTTTCTATTTTTGTTGTTTGTTTCTAGTATTATTGTTTGGTCATTTCAAGTTTTCCTCCAAAATCCGCCTGTAGGGGGACGTGCCCGACCTAACCTAGTTTGAACGTTATGCGGTGCATTGCCTGGAGAAAAGAGCGACAACTGGTGCCGCCGTCAAAGATCAAGACGAGCCTTTCCGGAAAGACAGGGACGAAATTGGAAGAGTGGCGACGGTTGTAGCCAATGTAACAAAACGCACGTCAGCTTCAACCGGGTGATCATACTGCTCCTAGGTCTTGACGCCAAGCATGATGAGGCTTGCCTGAAATCGCAACCGCCCGCCTGGCGAAGAACACGAGTCAGTTGCGTTCGGAATGCTGAGCAGTGTTATCCGAGATTGTTCGCCCTCCATCGACAACCGCCTGGGTCACTTGTGAGGGTTGGCTTTAATTGTCTCCCCATCTTCATTACCTTCTTCCCCCCTTCAAGTACAGTCGATCCGTATCATAAGGATGTGCGGTTAAGATGCAAGGGCCTTGGAAGGCCAGGGTTGCGATTTTGGTTCAAACGAGGTTGGCCGGCGAAAGTCGCTGAGGATGGGCCGAAGGCGCAAGGATGCAAAGGTACCCTTGGGAAGGTTGCCCATCCTTACCATACGGGTTTACTGTATTCCAGAAAAGAGAGAACAAGTCGGCAAGTTGGTCTGTCGTGTTGGCACCTCGTGGCGCCTAACGTTTTGCACGATGGCTTTGCTTCGACGTGGGCGTGCTGAGGAGGGGAGGGGGGGGGGATGGCGCTGATGAGGAGAGGAAACAGCAGCAGCAGCAGCAGCAGAAAGATGAGGGGAACGAGCTCGGACCCGAGAACGCGTGTTGAAGCCAGCACACGTGTGTGCTACTACTCGGCGCTTCACCCCGGAAGGGGTCCAGAGACAAGGGGATGTTTCTCGGGCGTCGCGTAATGAGGGGGCGACACATGGGTTGGGGGGGCAGCGAGGGCTGCCGAAAAGGGTGCCTTTAGGGTCCCTGAAAGGGGCCCTTTAGGGCCCAAAAGGGGGCCTTCGGGGCCCGAGAAGTGCACCTCTCTTCCCCCCTCCGAATCATCGACCCCCCATGAGGCGACGCCCAAGTTTCGAATGCATATGTAGAGTCGATGGCGGAATGACGGGTGAGCCTGGAAATTTGGCCATCAAATCTCGGGCGGACGGCAGTGGGGGGGGCACAGTGACCGTCTGGCGATCAAGTATTGCAGCAAAGCGATACATTGAAGGGGCCCTAAGCGGCCTTCAACACTGCCCCGCGGGCCTAAACACGCACGCCGGTCGTTGAAAGCAGGTATTCTTGGAATCCCAGATCCCTATCTGCTTGAGGAACCGTCCTACTTCAATGGTCGAGTGAATTAACCTTCCTCTTCAGGGGGCGAACGGAAGCCCAATCTACTTCCAACGCATTCTTATTTCATGTTTCTACCCACTTCTTCCGACCGATGGGTATGCATCTTCACCCCACGTTCGTCGCCCTCCCGCTATCGCACCCCCGAAGCGTGCAGGAGGATCGGGAGGCGGAGGAGGAACACGAACGGCGCTGCCGACGAGGCTTGCGGCGACGGCCGCAGGAGCCCCGTGGGTGGGCCTCGCTCGCCCCGAGGACCTCGTCGTCGAGAGCCTCAAGCGGGCACCGAGACCCACGCCGAGCGCGCTGACGTTCCGCCACGCGGCCACGGCGCGCGGCGCGGACGAGGGAAGGCCGCCGCCCGCCCCACCGGGCAGAGGGCGGGGGCGGGACCCTGCGCGGGAGCCCGCACGAGGAGCCGAGGGGGGCGGGGGGGCTCAAGGTTTCCGGGGCGCCCTCGTCGGCTCTCCAGCGTTTCCCAGCCTCGCGAGGCGTTCCCGAGGCTGCGCCTCGCCGGGGGCGTTCCGGGGGGGCACGGAGCGCCCCGAACGGTCACGGCCCCGCCGCCCCAAAAAAGGCACCTGGCGCCGGAAGGGGAGGAGGGCAAGGACGGAGGGGGAGGAGAGAAGGAGTCCCGGGAGGCGAGGGGGGGGGGCGGCCCTCTTTCGCGCTCCGCGGCGCCGCCGCTGGGGGAGGCGGGGGAGGAAAGATGGAGGAGGGGGAGGAGGAGGGGGAGGAGGGGGAGGGGGGGGAGGGAGGAGGAGGAGGAGGAGGAGGAGGGAGGAGGAGGAGGAGAGGAGGGAGGAGGAGGAGGGAGGGAGGAGAGAGGAGGAGGAGGAGGAGGAGAAGGAGGAGGAGGAGGAGGAGGAGGAGGAGGAGGAGGGCGAATGTGCGCAGCGCTTCAGCGAGAGCCACATTTTGAAAATTGCTGCAAATGTTTTAAGACGAATGTGCGCGGCGCTACAGCGATTGTAAAATTTGGAAGAACCTACCCGCCATCCATTCTAGAAGTAGTTGCACATGTTTGAGACGAATGCCCGCGGCGCTAAGGCGAGCGCCACATTTTGAAAGGGGCCCGCCCTCCATGTTTGAGACTTCTGCGAAAATTTAACACGAACGTGCGCGGCTTTACAACGAGAGCCACATGTTGAAAAGGGCTCGCCCTCCATCCTTGAAGATGCTGAAACGAGTGCGCGCGGCGCTGAGTTGAGTGCCACAGGTTGAAAAGTACCCGCCCTCAATTTTCGCATTTGCTCCACATCTCAAGATACAGGAGCATGCATGGTGAGGAAGTCTCAGACGAAGCGCCCGGCCCGCACGTCGTGGGGGGTGCGACGGGAAGGCGTGATTTGTAAGGAAGCTGGGTGGAGGTGGCGGAAGATGTGGTGGTGGTGGACGAGGAGGCCCGCTGCCCGCCAGCTCCGCGGGCTGCCTGCCCGCCCCCGCTCCGCGTGCCCCCCCCGCCTTTTCTCCGTGCCGCCTGAGGCAGCCCGGGGGGCCGCACCTCGGCCGCCGCGAGCTGCGAACCGCCTGGGGGTCGAGCAGCGGGTCCTCGTCCACCTCGTGCGCCGCCCCGGGCAGGGCCAACGCGGGGGCCGGCTAGCGCGGGGTCTGGCGGCAATCGCGGGCGGTGGGGGAGGGGGGGGCAGACGGGGCCGAGGCGAAGGGGTGCGGGGCGGCGAAGCGGGTCAAGGCGGGGGAGGGGGGGGGGGGCAGAGGCGCTCGAGGCGGTGGAGGGGGGGGCAGAGGGGCCTGAGGCGGACGAGGGGGGGAAGGGGGGCCGAGGGGGTCAAGGCGGAGGAAGGGGGGGGGGCAGATGGGCTCGAGGTGAAGGATGGGGGGAGCAGCGAGGGCAGCAAGCGCAGGCAGCAAGCGCGGGCGGCGGTGTGCAGGGGGGACAGCAGAGGGGGTTTAAGGCGGAGGGGGGGGGCAGGTGATCAGAAGGGGGGAGCAGTCGTCGTCACGCTGCGCTTCTGCGCCGCTTCTGCCGCGAGCGGTGAGGGGGGAGGGGCAGGAGGAAAGACGAGAGGGGGGAAGTGGGGCAGCATGAGGCTGGAGCAGAGAGGCTCCCCGGGCCTCTGGCCTCTGGAGCTGGAGGGCTTCAAAGGTTGCGGGGTTGGCCCCGGCGTCTCCGTTCAAGTCTTGTTGCAGCGGGGGTGGCCCTGCCTTGGCAGCCTTCTCGGCAGCGGTCGGTTCATGATGTGTAGTCTGGTCCACGCCCCTGGAGCGTGCGATAACGAGGCAATGGGGAGGGCAGAGGGGGAGGGAGGCGATGGGGGCGAGGACGGTGATGGAGAAGGGGATGGGGACGGGAGTGGGAGGGAAGAGAAGCGAGCGATCATTGGGACGAGGCTGACGAGGGGAAGACAGCGCAGGGATTTGGTGAGAACCCCACCCCTCCGCCAGAGCGACTGGGCCGCAGCGGCGGGCCAGCGAGAAGCGCGGGCACATCACCAGGGTACAGTGCCACAGCACGCGAATGGGAGGGACGAGGAAGGGGAAGGGAGCAGGGAGGCGCAGAGGGGAGCAGCGCAGCCCCAGATGCTCGACGAAGTACCTCTCCGATGGCTATCTGGGCACCGCTGTGGGAGCTGCTCGGTGGCTCCTGGGCGCCTCTCAATGTCAATGAATCACGGTGCGTTAGCTCTGCGATTGGTTCCTGCGTGGTTGGTCCTTGGGCGATCCCCCAGGAGGCCACATCATGAACCTTCGTGATCCTTCGATGGTCACCTGAACATCGGAGGTCACGATTCTCACCTTCTCCTCGGCGATCCTTCGACGTTTACTTGAAACGGTTCTGTCCAGAAGCAGACCCACGTCAATAGGAGAAGCGCTATGACTAGACACTGCCATAAAAAAGGCAGCACGACCCGATCGCTCTACAGACAACCCGCATAGTAAGAATGAGCAACCTTGCCAAGGGTACCCTTGCACCCTTGCCTCCTCGGTCCATCCTTGGTCACTTTCGTTGGCCGCGCCCCGCTCGATAAGCTTAGACATGGGCGTCCAAGGCCCTTGCATCCTTATCACGCATCCTTATGATATGGGCTGACTGTACCTCCGAGAGGCTGGCCTGTCGGGCCCAGGAGTGCACGCTTTTCGCCCGTGGCTAAGCCTGCTGAGTGAGACCCGAGTGGAGCTCCGCATCGCCGACGCATCAGCGGTGCACAGGTGGGCGTCCTCATTTTCGCGGAGGCCACGTGTTGCAGCCTCTCGACTGCATTGGGGGGCAGGCGCGTACAGCTGGTCGCGTGTCTGAGCATGTCCCTCGCAGATTCAGATCTACAACGTCATCACAGGTTCTCTTCGAGAAGCCGAAGAACGTGTGCTCAAACTCAACTTGTCTCAACAGTTCCAAGAGGCCTTCGCGAGGAGAACATAGTGCACTGAGGCACCGCGATGCCTACCACCCCAGGCGCCGGACCGGTCTCTTGTTCGACAGAGGGCGCCTGCCTGCATGCCTGCATGATGCCACCTTCAATCAGAAGCCGCCCATTCTGCGGATGGCATCGTCTGTGACATGAGCTCCGTTCCTCCAACTCTGCCTCCCGATGCTGCTTCACTTTCTCTGTTTCGCTTCGGACGGCGCCAGGTCTCCGCTGTCGCCGATCCCGGCCGGGTGAGCCGGGGGCCCTGGAGAGGGCGTGTCCACCGATCTTGGGCCAGGGATGGGCCTGGCCAGGATCGGGGCATTGAGCGAGTATCGGCGGCGAGCGAGGGGGGAAGCGAGAAGGAGAAGACCTTTTCAGAAGACGGCGAGGCTTCTCAGAAGCCCCCCGGCCTTCTGAGAGGTTTTCTGTGTTCGAGGTTTTCTGTGTTCTCGGGGAAGGCTTAGAAAATTTCTCAGAAGGCCGGGGGGCGTCCGAACCTTCTGAGAAGGCCCGCCCCTTCTCACTTCCCCCCGGGGCTCGCCGCCGAGAGCAGTTGCGAAGAAGAACAATGCGCATCCGCGTGACCCGTCGGAGCTGTTCGGACGGTTTGGGTCCGTGGCACCCCCCCCGCCCATAGCGGCACCTCTGGCGCTGCCCCTGGCGCGTGGCGCGCTCCGCGCGCCAGGGAGGAGGGCCCAGCACCGATCCAGGAAACCCGCTCGGAGTCCCCAAACATTCCCCGATACCACGACGACGACGACGACGACGACGGAAGAGGAGCAAAAGGAACAGGAAGACGATGAGGGCAAGGACGAGTACGAAGAGGAGAAGGAGGAGGACAACGAGGACGAGGACAGAGCCCTCAAAATCGCCTCTTGGCGCCCTCTTGGAATTATTTTGGGAGATCTTGGGATTATCTAGGGGCTCTTTTGGAGGGTCTTGGGGCCCTCATGCAGCTTTCTTGGGTCCCTCTTTGGGGACCTGGAGGGCCTTTTGGGACCATCTTGGAGGCTATCGATGAAAGAAGGTAGGTCCTCGATGTTAGCCCCCTCCATCCCCCACTGGGGCCATCAAAATCGCTCTTGGGGCGTTTTTTGGGCGCTCTTGGGGCCGTCTGGGGGACATCTGGGGCCCCTCTTGGGCCTCTCTTGGACCTTCGTGGGGCCACCTTGAGGCATCAAAAGCGCATAGGAAGTGAAGCGGCGAGAAGGCGCAACTCACTGATTTTCCGTCGGTGTTTGAAGGATTTTGACTTCTTGGGGGGGTCCTGAGGGGGGCTCCGAGAGCACATGGAACCGTCTTGTGGCCCTCGTCGGGCCTCTTGGAGGTATGTCGGAAGCTACCTTGAACCATCGTCGGCTATTGTGAGCCATTTTGGAGGCCATCTTGGAGCATCGGAGACCCTCTTGGAGCAATATTGGGCCATCTTGGGCGATCTGGCCGATCGCGGTAACCTCTCGGAAAAGAAGAGATTTTTGGAAGAGGAAAGAAAGAATATGTTGGACCAGTTTAGCCCAAAGGATCGGTGGGATTAAGAAATCGCGTTCTCGCTCAATGCCAACTACACTTTTCGTTAAGATGGCCACGATCATTTGTCAAAAGTACACGACGTTGCACATGGCCGTGTTCTCACCCTTCTCCCTGCACGTTTTCACTAGCCGACCTGCTCCTCGACCCGCGCCTCTTAACCTTTGCTGCTATTAGGGTGCCTTTCTCCGAGGAACAAAAAATATCAGAAAAACAAACCGTTGGAGGAGGTCCGCGCGAATGTTTTGGATCCGCGCTGGGCCTCCCTCCCTGCGCCAGGCGGACCTATGAAAGTGTATGACCTTTGTTTTTTGTTGTTCCCCTATATTTGTACAGGCAACGTTGATAGTAAGGATGGTCGATTTCCCAAGGGTACCATTGCATCCTTGCCTCTTCGGTCATCTTGGGTCCATCCTCAACCACTTTCAATGGCCAGCCCCGCTCGAAAAGCTTCGGCATGGGCGTCCCAGGCCCATAACCCTTATCGCGCATCCTTATTGTAAGCTTAAACTATATGCCGTCATTGCTTCTCTGCAGCTGGCGCCCTCCGACCGCAGCATGTGAGGGCGTGACGACGGGCTGCAGACCCCGGCCACGCGCCTCTCCCGCGCCCCCGCGCCAGAGGTACCGGCCCGCCACAGCGTCTTCTTCCAGCGCCACGAGCTCTCTAGCGTCCTCACCCCTCGGGGCGGGGAGGGGGGAGGAGGAGGAGGAGGAGGAGGAGGAGGAGGAGGAGGAGGAAAAGGAGGAGGAGGAAAAGGAGAACGAGGAGAAGAGGGAGGAGGAGAAGGGCCAGTGTCAGCACGACATTGCACCAAGCCCTCCCTCCACGCTCCCTCTTCATAGGCCCCTACAAGGATTCAGTTCCAATGAGGGGAGTGCCCCGTTGGAAGACGACCGATTCAAAATCTTGAACCGTGCCAGAGCCCCACTCTCGGGAATCAACCGCCACGATTTGACTTCACTGTTGCGTCTTGACGGTCCTGAATCAGAACATTTTCCTAGGACTTCAACACCGCGAATCAACGTAACTGTTGCGCCCTGACTGTTCAGCATAGCTCCAGAGCGCAATGTCTGGGATGTTGTCCATGAGATCCCTGGAAATTCTTGCAATGCTCACAACGAATATGCGCGGCGCGAAGACGAGAGCCACATGTTGAAAAAGAACCGCCCTCCATCCGTGAAGCAGCTGCACTGGTTTATACTGTTGCAAATTGTCAACACGAATGTGCGCGGCGCGAAGGCGAGAGCCTCGTTTTAAAAACGGCCCGCCCTCAATCCGCGAAGCTTGCCTTCCAATGGTTTAAAAAGAATGTGCGCGGCGCTACGGTCTCATTTTGAAGGCGGGCCGCCCTTCAACCTTGAAATTGTTGCACACTTCCAGCTTAAGGGTCCTAATTGGTGAGAAAATATCAGGCGAAATGCGTGGCTCGCGTTACATGCACGTCTCGGCGTGCGACAGGGAGGAGTTATTTAGTAGAAGAAAAGAGGGGAAGGAGGAGAGGATCGAGGCAGAAAAGCTGCATACACAGGAAGTGCTGGAGCTCCGACAGTTTATGCTTATGTATGCTTCTATTCTTCTGGAGGAGAGGGCCAGGAGTCGGAACGGTCGAAATGGATACGGAAGGAGTGGGTGCGGAGACCAACAGTGGTGCTTGTCCATTTTGAACCGGGCTTGCTGCCAACGTCGCTGGGGGGCATGGCCTATTTGCGACACATTGTCGCCTGCCCAACAGCGGCCGCTGTTGGTGTTGGACAACATGTGCTGTTCTGCATCGTACCCATTTTTGCCCGTGCTCATCCAGGGTGTGCCAAGAGAGGTGGGTGATGACCCAAGATGCTCAACGCATTGAACAACATTCGATGGCAGTGATAACCACAGACTCTGGCTCAGGGCCGTTTTCATTCACCGTTTTCGAAAATCACTCTTGATATTGAAACGACAAAAAAACGGTTTACCGAAACGGTAAATTAAGAAACGTTTTACCGAAACGGCCTGGGCAGTCTTGGGATCCGATGGACGTTCGGGACCAATTCGAAAACGATTCGGACCCGGTAGAGAAACAACGATTTGGACCAGGCCCCCACCAGGGAAAATGAAAATTGTAAAATATCGGCGCAGGAATGTCAACAATACCATGCCAGAAGCAGTAAAACCACAGACACGACGACAATTGTTAAAATTGGCCTTGTCGTCTGCAGGAGCAACTAAGCTCCAGACTTCCGACGAGTTGAATGAAACAAATCGGCGTTGTTTCGTCCTTTGAAGCGTCTGTAAAATATAAAATGGGACGACAACAATTGTCCCCGGAAAGTGGTGGGACTGAGAGGGGTGGGTATCACCCGGGATTCCATGGCCCCCTCTTTCGTTTGCCATGCGTACCCTAGCCCCGCCCTCTTCCACGCACATGCCTCTGGCCATGATGTGCGAGCCCCCTCTTGGACGCCCTCGAGGCTGGCTGCGCTGTCTGCGTCACAGTCAGCCTCACGAATGGTCGTGGTTGTTGTCGTCGCCTGCACTTCGGGCAGCGAGCGCCGCTGCTGCGAGTGACGGCTGCTGTGGTCGTGTTCGTGGTCCTGACTTTTGTCCTGGCGGTAGTCGTCGCCCGTGTCGCTGTCGTCCTTGACAGCGGAATGGTCGATGTGCTCATGCTTATGCTGGTCGTCGTTGCAGTGCTGTCGGCGTCGATATAGAAGATCCGCTTTGCGGCATATCAGATCAGCGCAGGCTTCACAGCTCGGAACTCCGGCAAATGCTCGGAACCCCGATGCGGTGTCCGCCGGTTTGCGTGGAATTTTTTGTCCGCTGCCCCCCTTGTAAAGAGGTGGAATAAGATGGTGAAATGAGGTTGAGAGGGGGGGGGGAGGGGCACGTGGAGAGAAAGAGAGAGAGAGACAGAGATAAAGATAAAAACATAGGGGGGGTATGGCATGCTCAAGGCTAGATAAAAGAATCACAAGATTTCGGTATCTGTCATGTCGTAATTTCGTTACAGTCATGTCCTGTTCATGTCCTCATAGTGCACTCAGCGTTCATCATACCGCATGTTGATGCCAACAACAGCCTGCCCCAAAATACAAGACGGTTGAGTGCGAGATTGTCAACGGCGCCCATGAAGTCTCCGATAGCCCGTGTCTTCCGCGGCCCCTGCGGCTCAAGGAGTTTTCGCGAGGGTATGGACTGGGCCTTCCGAGGATTCCATGCACTGACCCCGCTCGCGCCCTACCTCCTCCCGCCTCGCTGCCCCGATTGCAGGTGTGTGGCGGACTGCTCCGTGCCGACGGAGATCGTGGGTCTGCTGGGCCGGCGGTTGGACAATTGCGGCCCCGAGCAGCTCACCTGCCCTGGCTGCCCCGAGCGAGCTGCGCTGCCCCACGCCGGGCCCGGAGTTCCGGGCGTTCGCCGCGGGCGCGGCGGTCGAGGCCCTAGCCGCCGCCTTGGTTGGGTTGGCCTGGAGGCTCCGCCAGCCCCAGGCGGCGGCGGCAGCGCAGCTCACCGACGGCACGCCCCTGCTCGCCCTGGACGCGGGCGACGCCGTGCAGGCGGGCGCGGCGGGGCCCGAGCCGCTGGCGGCCCTGCGAGCTGGTCGCCGCTGGTGGCGCGAAACTTGGACACACCAGAGGCGCAGGTGGCCGTCGACTTTTTCAACGACCCGAGCGGGTTCAACTTCCACGTGCGGGTCCTCCTCATGCCCGCGGGGTGCGGCAAGTGGATCTGGGTGACTCCGGACCACCGCGTGCAGTTCGGGGACCTGACGGCCCATCGGGTGGTTCCCTTCCCAGGAAAGCGCCCTTCCCCCGCCGCCTGGCGCGCCAGCTGTACGCGTTCGACCCCTTCGGCGACGGCGAGCTCGAGAGCATCCGCGAGCAGGCGGCGGTCCAGGCGAGGGTGCTTGGCATCGAGGTGCCGCGCGGAGCTGCCGCGGCCCCTCCGCGCTGGGTGGTCGCCGACCCGGCCCACCCACAGGTCGGCCCAGCGGTCGACTCGGCGATCTGCGGGGCGGAGGACCGCTTCGCGAGGCCTGGGGCGGTGGCGCCAGCCGCGCTGGACGCGAACGAACAGGTGCACACCGCGGCGTGCGAAAACGTGCCGGAGGAGCGGCACCAGCGGCGGCTGGACGAGAAGCATTCGGGGCCTGGTCGAGACCCCCGGGCGCGCCCCGTCCGCCGGATAAGTCAAAGCGGGCCTCGGCGAGCGACGCTCGATCAGGCGATCGAGGCACGTTGGCCGCAGGCCGCCACCGACTAGGTCTCCCGGGGCCCGAAGTCGCCGCCCGAGTCCTCGGCGAGCGCGCGGGCCTCGGGGCCAGGGGTCGCGGGCAACGCCAACCACTGCATCACGAGCAGCAGCATCCCGCCCGGCAGCGCAGCGGCGCGCGAGAATAGGCAACGGCTCGACGCGCTGCGCCACTTCATCGAGCGCGACCTGGTCGACGTGGCGGACCTCGCCGGGGCGGAGCTCATCGCGAGCTGGATGGTCCAGATGCAACGGGCCATCCGCCAGAGCCCAGAGCGCCCCGACTCTTCGGGGCTAGAGGGCACGCCGGCCTCGGCTCTGGACGAGACGGGCGGGGTCGCCACCAGCAAGTCCGAAGAGAGGGTCGCGCAGGAACAAGAGACGAAGGCCGCGATCACGAATAATACGGCGCTCTAGACGGACGAGAGGGACGCCGAAGCCAAGCGCGTTGTTGGCGGAGGCGGCGGCGGCGGCAACGACCAGAAGTAGCCTGGGCAGGTCTGCCCAGCCCCCCCCCCCTGGAGGCTGGAGGCCGGGAACTCGTTCGCCGGCTGCCGCAATTTTGATTGCAGTTTTGATTCGAAGGAGCCGTCGTCGCCATGGCGCCCGACCCCTTCCCCCCCGCGCCCCCCCCCCGATTTGTTCGAGGGGGCCGGCAGAGAGCGCCCGGCGAGTCGCCGAGCTGATCGCCGGCGTGCACGGCTGAATTGGACATAAGGGTAACGGAGGACGTCGTCTCGAGCCTGAACGCCCCGGCCGCTGCCCGCGCGTCGCGCGCCCTCCATCCTGGACGGGCGCGCCAGATTTTCGCGCCGGCCCCCGCCCAGGAGTCCGCGCTTGGCCGACTCCAAGGAGGGCCGACTTACCGCCCAGCCCTGCGCCCAGGACAAGGTCTCGTTCTGGCAGGGCTCGGTCGAGCCTCGGGAGGCGCTCGACCTCGTCCCCGATCACGTTCGACAAGTTTTGAAGCCCCCAGAGGTTCCTGGAGCGTCACTCCGACGAGCTCGCGGACGAGCCCCATGTGCAGCCTTATTGGGACCCGCTCCTGAACCCGCGGATCCGCGCCAACCACCCGCGCTTGCTTGGGCCGTTGCGACGTCTCGCCGAGTTGGGGATCGCGGCGGCCACCCGCGGAAAGAAGGCGACCGCGGGCCTGTGCTTCGTCGAGAGGAAGGGCGATCGGCCCCGCATGATAGCGGGCGGCCGACAGTCCAACCAGTTCCACCGGCTGCCGCCCCAGACCAGCACGGCGCCCGTGGAGGCGCTGGCGCCGGCGCAGGCAGGGGCCGACTGGAGGCCGAGGTGCTCCGCGGGATCGGACGAGGCCGCCCTGCACGCGGCAGCGGTCGACTTGAAGGACGGTTTCCACCAGCTCAAGATCCCACACCTCGCCGAGCCGAGTGGTTCGTCTGCGACGCGGCGGGAGTCCGGGCGA